CATACGCGCCAGCTGACCCGCTCTGCTGCAAGAGACGCGGTCAATTCTGGGCGCCCAATCGCACTCCCGTAGCCCAAGGTCGCGACTGGGGACCGCCCCGGGTGACAAGAGAAGAGCCCGGTCCTCCGAGACGCCCTCACAGGCCCAAAGGAATTGGTGCCCTGAGCTCTGCGGCTCTCGATCGCGCCCACGACTAAGAGGTGAGATCAGCACCTTGGCCCGTGCCGCTCGGCCTTTTCTTTGAAATTAAATGTCTATCAGCTCCTCTCCCCTCCACATTTTTTCTGACAAAACCTAAAGGCACAAGAGAACCCTCGGGATGTAAGCTGTGCCTTATGAGTGAGCAGAAACCCACAGAAGCTTTAATGTATTCATAGCGACCTTGTACCTTGGGACTTTTCTAAATATTTTCCGAGAATCATCTCGTTTCATTTTCATCCATCCCTGTGAAGTGGATACTATCATGACCCCCGATTCACAGATAAAGTGCTGTATGGAGTAGGCGGGTTACCTATCCAAGTACATGCAGGTAGGTGGTATAAATAATGATGTGGAGAGGATGAATGACAGCATGTTCTTCCTTTAAGTCCTGCACTCTTGCCATGACAGCTCTCTTGTCTTCATTTTCTCTTGCCAAGGAATCTGCCCTGTCTCAGACTCTCTTGAGAATTTTATGAGCTCTAGAAGTCTCTTCATAGAGGAAAAACACATCTGGGTACACACATACTCACTGGTTTTCATGCAATTTCAGAATTTTCAGATCCAAACATGGACCTCAAGTTAAGACATTCATCTTTCCACTGAGATTTGGTGTAGATGGTTGATCGACGAACACTAAGGTAGACCAGGATCCTGAGGAAAGAAAATTGGAAACCAGAACTAGTGGGCAGGATCTCTTTTTTTCTTTCAGAGTCAAGGAAGTTCTTGGTGTGCGTCTTAGTAGTTGATCATGAAGGGGGTGTCCATAATAAACTGACTCACAGACTGCTGGTTTCATCATTGTCACTTGATTGCACAATGCCACATGATGCCAGTGCTTTCTTTGGGGTGAATGACATGAGAAACAACATTGAAGTCTCTGATTAGGAAGTCCTTGTCCCCACAAATGAGGTGGCATCAATTCAGTACTATCAATAAGCTATTTAGGAGTATCTCATCCATATGTGACCTAAATGCCTATGCAATATGTCACTGTGCCTAAAACAAGCCAAAGAGCAGCTGAAATAAATGTCACCAAGCCATGCAGCAAAGGCTGAGAGGATGACTCAGGCAGCCCCAGGGCCACACACAGGCCTGTTTATACAACAGTTAACAAGCTGGCCTGTCTGGCTTCCTCGTCCACAGTATAAGGAGATAGGAAGGGAAGAGAGTGAAAGCAAGTAGGACGTTGAAGCCGTAAACTGTATGATTGTTGTTATCTCAGCAGCAATGGGAATGAAAAAAAAAAAGAAAGTGAGGAAAAAAAAAAAGGTGGGACAACTGCATTGTTATGGTTTGGGTCTCGATGTTGCCCCAAAGACTCATGCAGAGGCTAAATCTGGAATGTGTGCTGCTGGGATTAAGGGCGTGTGACTACTACACCACTACACGTGAGTGACTGGCTTGGCATCACCCTAATCCCAGTAGTCTGGATCGGATGAAAGGGGCAGAAAGAGCTGTTAGGTCCCTTGTTGCTGTTGTCCCTTGTTGCTCATGGCACCAAGTGTGCACCATGAACTATTTCTCCTCTGTGATGCCCCTCTGTCATGTAATACTCTGCCTTAGAACTACCTGACTGTGGACTAAAACCTCTATGAACTGTGAGCTAAATAAACCTTTCCCCCTTTAATTTTGGGTGTCAAGTATTTTTGTGTCAGCAATGAAAGAAAAGAGACTAATACACACATATTTGACGTTAGCTGTTGCTGCCCCCCTGACTTCTCTCGGTCTCAGCTGCGCAGCCACTGCTGAAGACCTCAGAACCCTGCAAAACTCCCTCCATAGACTAGTCTCTGCCCTTTCTCCTGAATTCCTGATTTGTACGTTGCCATGTAGATTTTAACTCAGCTGCCTCAAAATTGACGGTCAAATGGAAACCAAGTCTTTGTAAATAGGGAAGGGTGGAGGGGGTGAAAGGAGGGCAGGGGTAAGGGGAAAAAAATGAGAACCAAGATCTGTCATGTAAAGGTACAAGATCCCAACGATGAATGTAACTGTACCGTAAACCTAAAAAGTACCAATAAACTCAATGAAAAAAAAAAGATGAAGGTATGTGAGGGAAAGAAAGAATGGAGGGTAGATTTAGTGTTTAATCTGAGTAAGTGGGTGGATGTTGATGCCATTATTTAAAATTGGGACAAATGGCGAAAATCAGGGTGATAGCAAGAGTTCTGCTCCAGCTGGGCACAGTGGCAATCCTCCTGCTATCCCACCTACTCAAAAAGTTAACACAGGAGGATTGTGATTTCAACGCAAACCTGGAAAACTTAGCAAGACCCTGTCTTTAAGCCAAAGTTTTTTTAAAAAGGGCTGAGGATATAGCTTGGTGTGAAGGCCTTGGGTTCAGTCCCCAGTGACAAAAACAAATGGGATTGAGAATTTAGCATAGCACTCCCTTGGTTCAATCTGCACTACCTGGGAAAACAAAACAAACAAAAAAGAGCTCTACTCTGGATGTGTTACATTTGACATCCATATGAGAATGACGAACAGACAGGTGAATCTATAGCTTTTTCTTTGGATGGTACTAAATGTTGAACTCAAGGAATGGTAAGCTATACCTCCAGCCCCTTTATAGGTTTATTTGAAACCAAGTCTCACTAAGTTGCCCAGGCTGTCCTTGAACATGTCCTCTGGCCTTAGCCTCCCAAGTAGCTGAGATAACAAAAATGCACTACCACACCTGGCTAAATATATAACTTTTGAGCTCTGGGAAGTCAGTGATGCCATTATAAACCGAGAGTAAACAATCAGAAGCTGAAAATAGGGTTGAAGGTCAGGAGATGGGATGAGCCACAAAGAGAGTTGCTGAGGATAAAGCAGAATACTAATGCTCTGGTGAGGCATCGGACTGAAGAAAGGGAGCCAGCAATGGTGACTGAGGAAGAGTGGGCACAGTGTTGAGCAGAAACAGCTGTGAAGATCGTCTGGTTTCCCAGAGAGACATCTCTAAAGAAGGATCAAGTAGTCTACAGTGCAACTACTGCCAAGGAGAGTGTAGGTGAGGGAGCAGGTTTGTGCTGGCAGATGTTATAACAAGATAGAATCTTTCCATTGCAAACATTGGGAACTCAGCTCCTATTCATGCAACCCTTAAGGTAATGTGGAGGGCAACTTCTGGCACAATCAGATCCAGGATAAAACCAATGCAACCAGTCTTAATTCTTCCCCATCTTTCCCACATGTGCTCTCTCTGTATCAGCAACGACATCTCCTGTAGCCCTAGCTCTACACCCCACTATTTAACAACTTTGGCAGAAATAGACTTTTAGACTATTAGATGAGATCATTTTGGTGGAAGAATCTGATCCCCGATATCTGCTAGGCTAATATGTTTGAGTGATCTAGTATACCTGGAGAAGGATGGTTCACTCAAGATGGGCCATGCCTAGGTCATAGACTAAGTTGTCCAGAAGGGCCAGCCTCATCCCACTACCTAGAATGGACTGCTCATGTGATAATTAGGTCCTTTCCCCAGAAACAAATAAAGAAGAAAAACAAGCTGGGCATACCCACTGTGCCCACTATGCAATAAAAAATTTTGGTTTTTATTTCCATAAAGAATAGCAAGAAATAGAATTACATATTAGAATACACATGATAATTTAATTGCTTATGAAAACTTATAAATGTCTTTCAAACCATTCAAGTACGTCATCCCTACGTAAGGTGACACAGTAATCATTCATGACACCTTTGTATCTCACAAAGCCCAGATAATTATGTAAAATAAGTATCTCAAAATTCATACATTCTGTATGATCTTTCAAAGCTGAGAGCTGTGTGTTTCTACATTGCAGGGAATATACTGATAATGAAATCACAGACATAGGAGCTTGACAACCTAGTTAACCTTGCCTGCGTTGGAATAAAATGGGAAAGCTGTTTTAAAGAAGGAAGTTTAGATGAGATTTTTTAAAAATCCCCAGCCAGGATGGGGATTTAGCTCTGGTTCCAATGCCTGCTTCCCAAGCGCAAGGCCCTGAGTTCAATTCCTGGTACCAAAAACAAAACAACAACAACAACAAAAACAAAAATAGCCACTTTGCAAACTAGTATTGAATAGGATTTTTAAAAAAATACTTTGACTTTATTCCAGCTGAATATTTTTAAGTGTATGCATAATTTTCTGAAATTAGTTGCAATAAACTGTGATAACATTGCCTAAGAAACAGCTGACCTTTCAAGGGACATATGCTTTAAAATATTTTTAATTACTAAAAATAAAGATAAAATTAGCCTTTCAATACTGATTTTTCTTTCTTCATTTCTTTCTCTACCCTCTGCCCCGGGCTGCTGTAGCTTTTCTTTTAGCCAGGAAAACAAGCATCTTGAAGAAGCTGACCAAACATGGCTTTAGCAGATAAGAGACTTGAGAACTTGCAAATCTACAAAGTTCTTCAGTGTGTTCGAAACAAAAACAAGAAGCAGATAGAGAAGCTGATCCGGCTTGGATACCCTCAACTAATCAACTTCACAGACCCCGTGGATGGACTTAGTGCTCTGCACTTAGCTTCAGTATCCAATGATGTTGACATGGTCGCCTTTCTCCTTGAACTTGGAGCTCACCCTGATGTGCAAGATCATAAGGGCTGTACTCCAACAATGAGGGCTGCTGAACTGGGCCATGAGTTGTCAATGGAAATATTAGCCAAAGCAAAGGCTGATATGACCATAGTTGATAATGAAGGAAAAGGTAAACTATCCCAACATTCTGTCCAGTAGGATGCAACTACTTTTTAGCCAGGTATCAATTAAATGGATTTAGAAGGGTTTTTCTAAATTTTATTTTCCAAATTCACAAGTGAATCACTTGTGATTTTAAGTAAAAGGATCCTTTCTCATTCCTATACTGACACCTCATTATTTGAAAGCAGTTCATGTGTATCTTAGGGAAAACAGTTCTGAGAGCTTGACCATTTACAAAGAAAATTAGAACTGGACTAATCAGTATGTGGTGGCTTCTTTTAAATGAGGAGAATTGTCAACATTATACATGCTTAACTATGATATTACCATATTCATAATCTTCTATTGCAAAATATAAAATCTTGTTAGAAGAAAAGATTCCCTACACATTAGAACCTTGTGCAGTACTAGACTTAGGACTCCAAAAAATTTTTATCCTTTCTCAATAGCAAGCTGTAAAAAGGACTTACATTTTAGAATTCAGGAGGACTAAGGTGGATGGTGGCATAAGCTAACTTCCTTTTTCTCCTATTGGGAAATTGGACCCAGGGGTACTCTGCCACTGAGTTGCATCTCCAGCACTTTTTTATTTCTTATTTTAAGACAAGATCTCCTTAAATTGGAAATTGGTCGTACTCCTCTTGACATTGTGATCTTTCTATATCAGCCTCCCAAGTAGCCATGTAAGTTTCTAGATACAATTTTTAAAATATTTGGATATGACTTGAAATGTTAGACAAGGCATTTGAAGGATTAGTCAGTTGCAAAGAGGTATACTTCCACATTCTCTGCCCTCTTGAGCCCCATGTCAAGACCACAGTCTGGAGCTTCTTTCCTAAATAACTTGAGGTTTGGGCAAGATTTGACCTGGCCTCAAGAAAAACACCACAATCATTACTACCAGACTTAATATAAAATGATACATTTAATCAGTTGTCCAAGAGAATTGCTACAAGTGCAAAGCCATTAACGTCAGCCCGACACTGGAGAAATTAATCCCATTTTGTAATGTTAATGTTTTCTGACAAGAGCAAAGTCTCCTTTTGTAATTCTCTCCAGACTTGATATTTGATAGATGACTTGCTTAAAACAAGAGTAAAGAGCAAAGAAAAGGAGAAGTTATTTAATAGAATCACATAGCAAAATAAATTTCAGATGCATTTAGAGGTCAAGTGTGCTTTAAACTGTTAAATCTTGGAACAGCAGAAAGCTCTGAAAGTTTTATAGACTGCCAAAGTGTGCTTCATAGACCCTGAAATCACTGGGATGTTCAAAAATGATACATGCAGCACTGGTTCCACTGTTGAGTTCATTAGAAAATCATTAAATGAAATGAATTCAGACATGTTTCTTTTATAGTATCAGACCAAAGATGGTAACATTTTCCATATTAACTTGACCATGAAATAGTTTTTCCATATGACAGCAAATATACTTGGAATTTTGAAAGGTCAACTTTGAGAAACACTGTACTGGAACACAGATATATATGAGCCAAAAATTGAGAAATTTTATGCCATAAAGAGATCAAAATTATAAAGTTTTAAAAAATCAAATAAAATGAAGAACACCTAAGTATCTGTAGCAAAATCAACAGCCATATGGTTAATGTTTATGCTCATTCAAATTAATATTAACCCTGTTAAGGTTCTGGAAAATAAACATTGAAAAAAAGCAGTTAGACAAATCCTATAGGAAGAAATTGAAACATATAGTAAAACTTGAACATGTAAAATTTTGTTTCACTCATAAGCTTAATAGTTGAAGGGGGCTGGTTTGTGGTTTGCCTGTGACCCTGGTCTCCCCTCTCCATTTTATTTATTTATTTTTTATTTTATTTTTTGTACCGAGAATCAACTCAGGTCCTTGTGTTTGCAAAGCAGGCGGCAGAACCACTGAGCGAAATCCCCGGCCCCTCTCCTGTCCATTCTCAAGCCTGGCTCACCTTGCACATCCTTGGGGGGTAGCCACTTACTAACTGTTTCACTCAGCTTACAGTTATCTCTCTGCCGCTAGCATCCTATGTCCTGGGGACAGATGTTTGACTCTCTGCACATTTGATTCTAAAGGATAAGCAAACATTGAACTGGTTAAAAGGGCTCTGTTTCCATTATTTTCTTCCATTCTTTCCTTAATCCTTCTCCCTTTCCTTCACTCACCCTCTTTCTCTTGTTCCTCTTCCCTTTTGAAAAAGATCTCCCTACCTCCAATTATTTATCCTTTAATTTTCTCTTTATTTACATTTTGGGGTCTTCATGTAAGAGAAATCATATGATTTAAACTTGTTTGTCTGGTTTATTTCCCTTAGCACTGAAAATTGGGATATAGTATACAATAAACATTCACCTTGTGTGTCTCCTGTAGTTTATGGTCAATTACAATCACTTCTTTCAATGAATCCTTTTATATTTTTAGATTATGCCTGACGTTAGCTTCATCTTCTTATAGTCTTTAAATATCTCAGTCTCCAGAACTAAAAAAAAAAAAATTTTAAAGCAAATGCTCATCTTCTCTGTCCTTTTCTTTCTCACCTCCAAGCTTTTGTTAAATTATATTAGTTCTACATTATAATGAATTACAGTGTTCTTTTTGTATCTAAAGTTCCTAAAGTGAGTTAGTTTTATGGTTGAACAAATTCTTTTAGTCATATATTCTCTGTTGATCTCTTAGTGGACTCACTTTTGCCATCAAAGTAGTTTAGTCTGCTCTTTAGGACTTATGTCCTTGATTTCATGCATCTTTAATCTTTTTTTATATCTGCTGGTGATTTTACGTATAACCAGCAACTTCATTGGGTATAAAAATTCCCTGTTTTCTTTCCGAGTGACATTGTAGGGATCCTTTAATTACCCTCTAGCATAGAATGTTGCTGGGACAAATTTCTGAAGCTAGCCTGACTTTTCTGTATTAGACATGAGCTGGATTTTTATCTACATGTTCATAGAAAACTCTTTTTACTGGGCTTTTCCTCAGTTTATCCTGTTAATTGTTCCTAATCAGCTTCTCCTAAGATCCTTCTAATCCTCAGATTCAGGTTTTTCACTTTAAGAAAATATTTTATTATACTTCCATATAATTTTCAGTTCCTTTAGGCTTATTATTCTAATTACATATATGTTCAGCCTTCTTTATAGCTGTGGACTATTTCAACCCTTCGATTATCCTGATTACATTTTTCTCTTTTTTTTTATAAAATAATTGAATTTATTGGTACATTTTAGGGATACAGTACAGTTACATTCATTACTGGGATCTTGTATCTCTACATGACAGGTCTTGGTTCTCATTTTTTCCCCTTGTCCCTGCCCTTCCTTCAGCCCCTCCTCCCCTCCCCATTTACAAACACTTTATTTACATCTTTTCATTTTCTCACATTTTTCTTTTCCCTATTACCCTTCCCCTACCCCTCCCACCTTCCCTGCACCTTTAGCCCCTTGCTTCCCATTTCACAATATCAGTTATCTCATTAGGATTGTATGTATTATTACAGTTTATTCACACCAGAGAAACTATTCGGTATTTACACGTGTGGCTTATATATTTCACTTAGGAGTATATCCTCAATATGTATCCATTTTCCTATGAATGAATCTAATTTCTCATTCTTTATGGCTGAGTAATATTCCATTTTATAGAAAAATCACACCTGATTATGTTTTTCTTATTTTTCTCCATATCCCTCTCTGCTGCCCTTTTTTCTGCTTTTCATTTGACTTTCATTTCTTCTGCAGGTTTTCCTCCACTGTTTCACTCCTAAATTCTTTTGGCTCAATTAATCTTTTCCTTCTATCCATCTTATGTTTTCTTCAAACCCTGTTGGTCTTGGTCTATCTTTGCACTTCTATTTAATTTCTTTGTTAACACCAACAGAATTGGTCATTAATTTTCCCTGGTATAATTTTTCTAGAGTGTACTTCTTACATGGATTTCATTATCAGTTGCTTATCTTTCTCATAGTGTCTTTTTCATAGATCACATGCTGATTTCCTTTTAGTTATTGTTCCTCTTTGAATGAATCCTCTTTTTACAGTGAGATTATTATAAAGTCATTCTAGAGTTTGTTTGGTTGTTGCCTACCCAGTACTTTCTTAACAACATTCTCTCGGGATTATAACCAATACCTATGATACGTAGTACATTTTTGACAAGAATAATGTTGAGGGCCCATATATTACAGATCCTTAGTGTAGGGATTCAACATTTTTTTTTCCTTTGGTGGGAAAAAAATGATTTGCCAAAATGGCAAAACCAACTGTCTTCTAATTTTCATCTCACTCCTATTACACTGAGAGTCTTCTCCTTACAAACATGGGTTTAAGCCCTCTGGCACATACAGCTCTGTCATTCTAAGGGACATTTGGGGTGCAGAATGTAAAATGTCAAATCCCAGGAGTGATAAGGGCTCCCATGTCAGCATTCCAATTCTCCTTTAAACCGGGTCCTGTGACACTTAGTGGTTTCTAACTTTATCAGAGATTTCCTCTTTATTTTTCTGATTTGGTGTTTTAGCTGATTTCAGAGGGGAATCCAAGGCAGATATGCCTTTGCTTTTCTATCTTTAACTAGTTAAATATGGATTTTAAGTTTTCCTTTTTTTCCTATTAGGTACAAATATGTACATAGGTTGTTAATTAAGTGCTCTATGGAAATTCTGCTTTTCTTCAGGCATTTTATTTTACTGCATTTTACCTACTAAGCGACATTATCGCTGTGCTTTGATTGCCCTTGAACATGGTGCGGATGTCAACAATTCAACTTATGATGGAAAACCCGTGTTCCTTAGAGCTTGCGAAGAAGCCCATGATATTAGAGAGATGTGCCTGACATTTTTGGAAAGAGGAGCTGATCCAAATGCTATCAACTCAGTATGACTATTCCCCTGATTATAAATACTTCTTTATTCTATAACAGTGTTATATTAGTATAATTTCTGTGTTTATATATGAGAAAATTACTGTTAGCTTATAGATTTTTCAGTTTGACTCAAAATACTTGAAATTGATATACTTTTATTACCTTTATATTGCCACAATTTTACAGACTAGTTCCTAATTATGATTGGAAAATGCATACTTATTATGTACAATGTCAAAATATAATTATAGAAAGCAGTAGAAAATGTATAACTGGTACATAATAAAAATTTATCTTCTTGGAACAAAAATATGTAGCTCTGCCGTTTCTCTTAGGCATTTTGTTTCCTTTCCTCAACTGGCTAATTTTACTGTTTTCTTTTCTTGTGTTTATCATTTCCTGACACACAAAAAATAGACTTTTCTCATTAGAAAACATATGTGATCTAATTTGGGGCATATCGTATCCTCAATATTCCCTTTTTGCTCTGCTTTCTTTGCAAGAAATGCATTTTTAAAAACATGTTATCCTTTCTTACAAAGTCTGGTAGAGCAAGCTTGATGATTGTACATTTTAGAAATTAACTCACTGTATTTGCTTAATGATTCTTCATTGTTTTATGAAACTAATGAAAATGCAAAGAACTAGACTTGCCAGTATAAGGTGAAGGTCAAATGAATTCAAAGCATATTTATATTGAATATGTTATTTAGTGTGACAAGTACTGTATAAACAATGTTTGATCTGTTTCCTCTCCAGTCCACAGGTCGCACCGCTTTAATGGAGGCATCAAGAGAAGGGGTGACAGAATTAGTTCGGGGAATATTGGAAAGAGGAGGTGCAGTGAATACATTTGACAATGACAGACATCACGCTGCTCATTTTGCTGCCAAAGGAGGCTTTTTTGATGTAATGATCCGCTCTTTGCTTTTAAATTTGTTTCTAAAAAATTCTCTTTTTTTCTCAAAATTTTTATTTATCATGTAGGTTCCACTGAGACAGAGTTGGTTTGTTTGTTTCTTTCTTTCTTTGGGTACCAGGGATTGAACTCAGGACCTTGCACTTTTGAGGCAGGCGCAGCACCACTGAGCTAAACCCTGGCTGGAGAAGAATTTTTTTTTTTCTAAGATACCTATGTTCTTTTCATCTTCAGTGCCCCCAAATCTAAATTTTAGCTTTCATTACATCTTCCAGCTTCTTGTTCAGTTGTCTCTATTTGCTACTCTACTTACTAAATATTGCATATATTTGGTTATGATGATCAGAATTTGTGCCACCTGAGGCTACACTACTTTAAGCCTTCATTATGTATTAGAATTGTCAAAATAGAGTCTGACCTAATTGCGGGGAGAACAAGGCCACACTACTCTCTCGTCTCCTCAGGATCTGTGTGCCTCTAATAATACATCTGAATTTTAAACTCTGATTTTATACTCTAAATTGCCTGATATTTTAGCAAAGAATATCCCATGGACACAGTGACATCACAAAAACAAAGAATTAACATTAAGCTTTTTAAAAAAAAATTCTTAGTTTCATTTATCTTTACTCAATTTTCCTGGAGGTTTAACATCGTTTCCTTTGTTTTTGTCATGGAGTCCGTTAGCACTACAGGTGGTGACCTGTGGTAAAAAACTTGCTTCCGGATGGCGTTTGTCATATTCTGCTTTCTTAAATCACCTCCTTTTTCCAAAATGAGTGTCCCAGCTGAGTACAGTTTTCTGTCCTCTAGATCAATGCTGTTTGATAGAATGGTGAGCCATGATGGAAATGTCCTGTATCAGAGCTGCACAATACAGTAACCACATGTGGCTTTTGAGCACTTGAAATGTGGCTGATATAGCTAAAGAACTAAGATTTTGGTTGTTTTAAATGTAGTTCATTTCATTTGAGTATTCTACAGTCACACGTGGTTAATAGACAATATACAGGGTAGCATAGAGCTACACGCTATTCTTCTTTCACTAAATGTACACTCCTAATCCTCTGTAATACCCACTATTTATTTTGCAGATACTAAGGCTCCTTTTTGCATACAATGGAGATATGGGGATGATCGCAATGAATGGGAACACACCACTTCATTATGCTGCTATGGGTGGTTTTACCGACTGTTGTAAATATGTAGCTCAGCGAGGTACATTTTCTAATAATTTTGTGTCTAAAGTGTTTATGGCTTACTGGTGTCATAGGTGTGCAGAGAATTTGAGCCTGTTGCTTCTCAGTTGCTTATCTTTTCAATAGCTCACTCATATATAGATAGAAATTTGGAAATGTTTTCTTACAACATCTGTTGAATCATGCGTCTAGTGTTAAAAATAATGAAAATTCATTTTTCCAAAAGGAGTAGATTATTGTTAAAAATTTGAAGGGGAGAATTCTGAGTTCATTAAATAAGAAAATTATTAAATTGATTAAATTCCTAAAAGTGCCAATATAAATCTAAAAAAGGACAAAAATTAAAAATTTCCTTTAGTGCAAAATTTTAATTTTTTTATGTTAGAAATGTTCTTTTTGTCAACTTTCTGGATAATTTCCAAATATAGGGAACAATATTTGGGGGAAAACATGAAATAAAATGAAAATTGTTATAGAAAATTAAAAATAGAAAGCAGTAATTTTAATATTTTTCTTATAGCTTTTAAGTAAATATTAATTTGGGCATATAAACTATATTATATATACTATTGCTCAATGAGTCCTTTAAAATGAAAATATTAATTAATTAAGTTGAAAGATAAGGATACATTTGTTGTTTGTTACCTACTAATTGAATGTACATCAAAAGTTTACTAGAAATAGAATTGCATTTTACTGAATTTTTTCAGCTTATGAAAAACAAACAAGAGGGGCCGGGGATTTAGCTCAGCAGTTCAGTGACCTGCCTTGCAAGCACAAGGACCCAAGTTCAATCCTGGGTACCAAAAAAAAAAGAAAATCAAGAACTTAATGTTAACATGAAGTATATGTTCTCTTCACAAGTAGAGAATTTAAGTCACTACAACCTAAGGATCCTATACCCTAACTATTAATATAAATAAAACTAACAGAACTAAATGACTTAGAGAATAATAGTTGGTCCACTTTTACTCTTATAAATTCATAAGTGCTCCCTTTCCACCCCTATTATAAGCCCTTTTAATAGATAAGGAAGAAAAGTATATTGAGTGTAATTTTGTCCTCTCAATCTGTCTTATTGGTCTTGTGTTCAAATCTGTTACCATCAGCAGTTTATTTTGACATTTCATTTTAACATTTTATATTTCTAAAAATCCATAATCTTCCCAGGTTAAGACGAGCTTCTTCAACTTTAACATGATGACTTTTTCGTATTGGGACAAATATCACTACACATATACTCTACCTTTTATATATTCTTGGGATAAAGTCAAGAAAAGCATGTTGAGAAGCAAAGAACAAGAACTTGGTTCATGCATAAAAACCTTGACCAGTGAGCATAAAAGTTCTGTTTTCCTGGGAGACTCTTAAGACTGTATTTTTAAAGCAAATGTCTGAAAATGTTTTAAAATTTGTAGTGCATTTGGGAGTACAAACCCATCATCAGATCCTATATAGGTGATCAATTTCATAGCAGAAGTGTTAGCATTAGCCTCACTTTCATCTTTAGACTCAACTCTGAGGCTACCTACCAGAGTAGCCAGAAACAACTAGCAATGAAATGTTCATGTCTGCATAAGCACTCTGGGTTTAGTTTCTGCTATGCTTAAATGTAAAACAGTTGTGCTGGCTGACTGATTTCCCTACATGAAAATTTCTTGCTCAGTATTGTTTTCTTTTGGTGCCCGGTCCTACTGTTGGAACAAGTTACAGCTCCCTGTGAGCAGTGTGAGAGCCATACCTAAGACAAAGTGAGACAGTCTGGGCAGTCTCCTGAGGTCCTTGCCTCCCTATGTTTTACAGCACCAGCCAGCAGAAAGCTGAGCATCTTTCCTATGGAGGAACTGAAATTATAGAGGGAATGAAGGAGTCTTTATTTACTGTATCAGTGGGGGAAATTAGCTCAAGAACCTGTGAGGAGACCAAGCTCTGAGGATGCCCAAGTTGCTTATACAGAATGGAACAGTGTGTGTACTTAGCCTACACACATTCTTTTGAATACTTTAAATCATCTCTAAATGACTTGTAGTACCTAATATAATGTAATGATATGTAAATACTTGTCATATTGTCATTCATGGGAAAACACATCTATACACTATAATAGATGCAGTTTATCCCCAATATTATGTATCCTCAATTGGTTGGATTTCTGAGTGTACAACTTATAAATAAGGAGGACCAACTACAATAATAAAGGAGGAGATAGAAATTCCCAACCCTGAAAGATGGGCAAAATGCTTTCAGGTCTTATAGACCAGCCAGATGTTGGGGGCTTTTTATCTACATGAAGACTCCTAAGAAGAAACCAGCAGCCCATAGGTCTAAATAATCCTCAACACTTGAAGCTGCAGTGAACAAAAAAAAGTGGCTTGAGAGATGGTAAAAGCCCAGATGTACTGACTAGGTCAGCTGAGTGAAAACAGTAGTGCTGGGATTACTAAGGAAATGCATCATGGAATTGATCTTCTATGAACTTCTACAATTAAGACCATCTCAGGGTCCAGTAAGTCACTGTCCTTAAAACTGTCTGATACCAGACTTTTATAGCCCTCACTGCCTTTTTTGATTTTTTCTATCTCTAACAAAAATAATAAACCTTAGTTTAAATATGGACTTTTTGATAATACCAATGAAAAAATATTAATCTTGAAAAAATCGCTAATCTTTTTTCTTTTCTTCATTCTCCCTTTTGTTTCTGGGTGTTTCTTTTCTTCTCTCAAACATATGAAAGTAGAACTGTATCAGAACCCTACTATGTCCATCGATGCAAGGGTTTTTTTCAACAAGGAATAATATTTGCATAGTGGGGAGCACATTTTATTTCTGCACAGAGCTACCTATACATTTTGATTGGTAGAGTTACTAATTAGATGCCAATTATTTTATTATGTGATGTTGGCAAAGCAACAGCTAAGCCTTCTTCTACACCAAACATACCAGAAAGAACTATTTCATGGTATTACTTATTTATATACATAATGGATTTTTAATGTCTCAAGACCTATTACAGGTAACACAGCCTTTTTAGTAATACCTAAATAGATCTCCTGATGCATTCAGAAAAGTTTAGTTCTTTGGGGAATATTTGCAAATAGTATTAGCCCTCTCATTTTACACTGGAGACCCCAAAGGGAAATGAATTTTAATGTATAAATTGTACAGAAATCTAAAGCTGAAATCCTCAGATGTGATTAACAAATTACATTGTCCTGTGTTAAAATTGTTCACATGACTTTCCCGTAAAATATCAGATTACTATAAATTACCTTACTTCTGTTGGGTAAACATAAACTATTGTTGAAGATCATACACAGATTTGTAATCTAAATCATTCAAGAAGAAGCAAGTATCTTTCAGCATTCTGAGCCAATAAAGCCTTGTGTAAGCAGTATGAATCTAGATTCTTCTTCCCAAATACCAGTGTATTGTCTCTTCTTCTGTTGGTACAAAGTCTCCTCAAGAATCTGTTGATATTTCTTAGAAATATTGACATTTTTGTCCAAAATATCTATTTACATGTAAGGATAAGTATCTTACTCCTTTGTGAGTGGACAAAGATCATAAACTTATCCCCTTCAGAATTTACCAAACTGAAGCCAAAATACAGCTTAAATGGGTAATTAAAGTAGCTGAATGTACTCTTCTCTGTATAAGATTTTAGGACAAACTTCTGATGAATACTCAAATTTGGTAAGATAATTGTATAAGGATTTGTATGGCCATACAGATGCCATAATACTAATAATTGTGCTTCCTGTCTTAGGATGTGACCTGAAATGGAAGAATTTAGACCATAAAACACCCAGGGCTTTGGCAAAAGAAGGTGGCTTCAAAGCAGCCAGCAAAGAAATTCATCGAGCAGAGCGAATTGCTAATAAACTGGCCAAACCAGGAGCCAAAAATCCTAATCCACTCTGGGCCCTCAGATTACATGATTGGTCCATAGAACATGAGACTTTTCTTAGGGAAATATTTTCATTTCTGGACAGGGGTGATGGGTCAGTCACCAAAGAAGACTTTGTAATGACCCTGGAGGAGAGGCAAGAGTATGCAAGCTCTGAACAGCTGTTTTCAATAGCTCAACTGCATGAAAAATTCCGAGGAGGAGGGGTCAATATTAATGAGTTCTTTAAAGGAACTAAATACTTAAACAAGTCTTTTGTCTTGGGATCTTATGGAACTAAGAAAAAGAAAAAAGGGATGGGCAAAAAGGGAAGGAAAGGCAAGTTTGCTATACCTCTCCCAGTCTGCGTCATTCCTGAAGATGCATTTCCACATCGATCAGATGGTGGGCCTCCATATTACATGATTGAAACCTACCAGAATGTAACTGATTACAGCCGTTTTAATCGAGATCACCCACCAGAACATCCCATGCAGGATGATTCTGCATGGTACATTGATGAGCCCGGGAAGACATTTTCAAATATTAATTTTATCACCAAAGCAGGAGACCTAGCATCTCTGAAAAAGGCTTTTGAATCAGGAATACCTGTAGATATGAAGGATAAATATTACAAGACACCACTAATGATGGCATGTGCAAGTGGAAACATAGACGTGGTCAAGTTTCTTCTTGAAAAAGGGTATGGTTTTGGTTAAGTGAGGTTTAAATTTGTATAAGTCTTCACATTTCAAGGAAGCAAAACAAGTCATACGAAGAATTCAGTTCCAGAATTTTTGTAGCATAGAAATGTATTTTGTCAGTGAAATCTATAATAAATGTATCTGTTTTGAGACTCCAAACTTGGGAACATGGGCCTGTATATGAACAAAGATAGTTTGCTCATAACAATTATGCACAAAGTAAAGGCCAACACATTTTCTCTGTGGGGGTAGAAGGATTTCTGATTGGACATCACTGGCTTCCTGCCAGGGACTGGACAAATCAATTTTTGTCTGTCCTACCTGAAAGATGTGGAATCACTTTTTAATCTGCCTCTTTTTGGTGATGACCTTAATAAATTTAAACAAATGGAATGGTGGCCACAAAGACTAAGGATATATTTTTGTCACTCTGTAACCCAATATCTGCCTCATAGATGGCAAGATTTTCATTGGCTCATGTTCAGATATCTTTAAAATATCAAAACATGAATTTTCATTTAACTTTTTTTTACTGAAATAATTGTTCATGTCTAATTTCTACTACCATAGTTACCTGATTGGAGCTGTTATGGAACTCATCTCAGGATTTGTTAACACTAAAGGAGTTAAAACTAGTACAGCACTGACTGAAGCAATTGCAAATTCAAAAAGACACTAATATCATTATTACCTTAACATTAAATGTTGAAGATTCAAACTTCTGTATTGTCAAAAGATGTATAAAGCAACTAAGGAAAATTTGAACTTTTGGACAATGAAATGCTAACAAGGACTAAAATTTTAAATAACATATTAGATTTTTAATAATGAAGGCCCATTTAAAAATTCATAGCTTTTACAAACTGTGCCCCTATAAATATGGGTGAGCACATAACACTGTGGTAAGATTCCTTTAATTCTTCTAGAAAGATACCCAGCAGAGGGTTGGCTGGGTCAAATGGAACCTCTAATCCTAGTTCTTTGAGGTATCTCCATATTGATTTCCATAGTGGTTGCACCAGTCTGCACTCCCACCAACAATGGAGAAGGGTTCCTTTCTCCCCACAATCCTGCCAAAATTTGTTATTGGTTGATTTCTTGACAGCAGCTGTTCTTTGTGGGGTGAGGTGGGATCTCAGTGTTGTTTTCATCTGCATCACTTGAATGACCAGTGATGTGGAACATTTTTTCATATATTTACTTGCTGGTTTTACTTCTTTGTCTGAGAAATGTCTGTTCATTTCAGATGCCCATTTTTGAATTGGGTCTTTATATTTGGAGGGGATGATTTTTTTGAGTTTTTTATATATTCTAGATAATAGTCCTTTGTCTGAGGAGCAGCTGGTAAAAAATTTTTCCCACATTGTAGGTTGTCCTTTAGTTCTGTTGATAGCTAAAACTTGGAAACAGCCCATTTGCCCATCAGTTGGAGACTGGATAAAGAAGATGTGGTTTTGCTATAAAATGGAATACTACTCAGCCATAAAGAATGAGAAATTAGAGTCTTTCACAGGAAAATGGATGCATATTAAGGATATACTCTTAAATGAAATAAATAAGTCACACATGTGTAAATACTGAATAGTTTCTCTGGTGTGAAAAACTATAATTGCACATAAGATCTTAATGGTAAAATTGACAAGGTGAAATAGAAAGAAAAGGGCTAATGGTGTAGGGGAAGTGGGAAGGGTAGGGGAAAGAAAATAAGGGAAAAGAAAACATATGAGAAAATGAGAAAATGGAAATAAAGTATATGTAAATAGGGAAGGGAGGAGGGGTAAAGGGAGGGCAGGGGTATGGGAAAAAAATGAAAATCAAGACCTGTCATGTAAAGATTCCCAATGATGAATGTAACTGTACTGTATACCTAAAATGTACCAATAAACTCAATGAGAAAAAAATTTACAAAATAAAAACTCATAGCTTGCAGAAAAACAGATACAAAGTGGAATAATAAAATTTTTCTGTCAGCTTTGGACAAGTTTTACAGTTTTTATCGATTTTAAGATTTGCAAAAACTGTAATAGGATCCAAATGCTTTTCAAAGCTAAACAAACTATATCTACACACAGAAAGTTAGGACTGTAAAATAATGCAGAACAGTGAGGTTAAAAAAATTATGACAGACTTTACTTAGGTCTCTCCTAGTTTATGATTTAAAACTTGATGAGCTGTATATGAAATCTTACTTTGCATTTTTACTTTCCAGTGCTTGGAACAACTGACATTTTCAGTGTGTGCACCTGTCTTATCTTACAGGGCAAATATAAATGCCACAGATAATTTTCTGTGGACACCACTTCATTTTGCATGCCACGCAGGCCAGCAAGACATTGCTGAGCTCCTTGTTGAGTCTGGAGCTTCGGTCGATGCACTTTCAATCAACAATTCAACTCCTTTAAGTCGAGCTATTGAAAGCTGCAGGATGGATACTGTAAAATACCTACTTGATATTGGTGCTAAATTTCAACTGGAAAATAGGAAAGGTAGGTGTTCACATGTCTGATGGTTGGGGTTCGAAAAGGTGAGTTAATGTTACATCCCAGTTCTCTTGTAGGAGGACTACATTTTCCCCTGGGCTTCTGATGCAAACACAGCCTCAGTTAAATGTCCCATGAGTGTGTCTGATACCCGGTGCTATAAAGGGCCAATTATTTGTCTGCAGTCTGTCATGCACTGATACTTTTATAAAACACAATGAGAAATTACTTATTATAAAATAGAATGGAAAGAAGCAAAATACAAGCTCAAATTTTGTTTTGATCAGTAGATTCAAATCTCATGAATTTTGAAATAAGAAATTATTCTATTAAATTTCTATAAAAATGTCTAATCACTTACTTTCTGTAGTAATTTCTTGTGGATCCTTAAGTTAGTTTGTACCAGTTTGCAGATCACATCTTGAGTTATCACCATTATAACTTCTAATTTCTAATAATTGGCCATCGAATAACTGTAAACTTTAAAGTCCTCAAACCTGGACAAAGCAACTCCTGAATTAAGGCTTCCTTGCCTCTAGGAAACAAAAAGGTGGTAGACCCAATGTCATGAATACCAAAAAGGAAGAATAAGAAGATCATTTGAATAAATACTTGAGTTCTTGGCTTAAAGGTGTTTGCTTAATTAGAGCCCATTGCTGTTCTTAAAATCTCTTTCACTTCAAGCTGCCCCTGGTCACAAGTGATATTACACTAGGCCTGCCTGATGCCATTTCAGGGAACACAATACTGACACACCTACCTGGTAATGTTATAGGGAGCAACAGCCCATGCACTTACAGAAAGAACTCTTTGCATTGGCTTCTTGAGTCTTTTGGAATTTGCCTTCTCACTTCATGGAAATGGAGAAGTAGGGTAAACTTATCACACAAAAGAAATGTGTGCATTGTAAGGAAAAAACTGTAAGTTGGGTATTTAAAATGTACTCTAACATTTCCCATCCCTTTGTTCAGAAATGTGGTTTAAAAATTAAGAAAAACAATAAATTTTTATGCTAGTAGTTGCAGTTAAATCATGGGATTTGGGAGCTGGTTCTACAGTAGAAAATATCTACCTCTGAAATTATATAATTGGCTTTAGTAATCACCCTTCCATAGGTTTCGAGGTAATATGCTGAGTGTTTTTCTACATGGTTATCATGAAATCTGTTTCTTATAACTCTGAATTTATGTTTCAAACAGGGCACACTGCCATGGATATTGCAAAAGCTTATGCTGATTATAGAATAATTGATATGATTAAAGAAAAGTCAGATAACTTGCCTAAACCAGCAGAAAATCAAAAACTGAAAGCCAAGCCACCCCCTAAACCAAAGACTGAAGGCTCTGAAATTAAGAAAGAAGAGGTACAAAAAGAAGAGGTTAACTACCTATTAGTAACCTATTAGTAACTACCTAATAGTAACTGTAACTCCTTAAAATTCAATTGACAAATGCCCAACAGAAATATTTATATTATTATAACAGCATGGACAAATATATACTTTCTGTACTATGATACAGTATTTTTAAAAGAACTATCTAGCAAGAAAGTATCTATTACTGAAGACTGTAAAACTCATTGCAAATAGAATCTTCACAAAACTCAAACTGGTTCAGCTAAATACAGTTAGAATGTTCAAAGAACTGGTATTGGTCATGCATATAGTTGGTCTTGAACTACACAGATTTGGTGATATGGCCCAAATAAGGAGTGGAATAGTAACCTTTATGAGGAGTGAAGTAAAGCATGATTTTCCTTCATCTTGGTCTCATAGTCATTGCCTACCTTTCTCCCCCCTCAAGAAATTTAATGAATTCCACTGAACACTGGAATATGGAATCACTTATAACTTGAGATATCTTGCAAAATAACTCCACAAGGTTTTGCATGTGCCACATTGACTGCTTCCGATAATCTAGAGTAGATTGTATACCCTTGAATTGCCACCAGAAGCTTGAGGTTGCTGCCCATGGTGGTTGCCATGAACAGGACAGCCCTAAGTGTATTGCTAGGCTTGTAGCTTCTTTTAAGGAAACAGAAAGTTCACTCCGAAAACAGAGAACAAGGATGAGAGGGTCAAGACAGAAAAGCTCTAATACAATCAATTTGAGAAAAGTTGGGAGAATGTAGGTGGTAGAAAGTATATTGGTAAAGGGATTGTAAGCAGATAGCACAGAGTTGTAAACATTGAGGATAGTCAACATGGCAAACACTGTAATTATTTTCCCTACCCAAGGCTATAAAAAATCTTAATCTCAAATTATAATTTTGTATAGTAACATTCGTAAGTGTTTCCCCCTTGGCTTCAAAATAAATGCAAAAAAGCAATATTAGAAAATGAGTATTGGTCTTTTGATTTTTAATTTTAAAAATCCGTTTCCAGGAAGCACTTTCATCACTTTATACTGTACCAACCATAACAGAAAAGAAGAAGAGGGATAAGGATAATGTGGTTTATCTCAATTCATTGATTACCAGTGGGTATACCAAGAAAGCGGATATAACATTTGTTCCACGAAGGGTAAGCACTTTGGAAAGATCCTCATAGCATGGTGAATCTCATAATGGCATTTTCAAGTATTTCCTCTGTATGTCATCCAGACAAATGTTTCAAGTTTATCTTTCAAGTTGCTATTTTGCAGAAGTCTTTTTTGCCAGATCCTATTACTTTCAACTCAGTAAGTTTTGCTTACCAACATCTCGTTCTCATTGTTCCTATTTCTCAATTGACATTTAAGTTTTCTTTGAGAGACTGAAGTCTTCTTTGGTCAGTGGCATTCTCTATAGCCTTTCAGTCACCAAGTTCTGTATCTACTTAATCTCAGTACTTCTCGGATCCAATGCTCTGCTTCTCAATCTTTACCTACTTGGAAATTTCATACTGATTAAGACTGGATATAACCAAGTAGTTTCCTACAGCATCTGAAATTAGAGGTGGAGACATCTTTGTGAGGATGTTGTCCTTACTGTGCCTGTCAAATCATACTGAAGGAGTAGCTCCTCCTGGTTTCTGTTATGAAACGAATTTCACCTTCCATATAAAATTCAAAGTAATAAACACAATGACCTTCCAATTCATTTGCTTTCCTGTTTTGATATCCTAAACATAAACCATGTCTGGCCAAAGGATAACTGGCCAGGCAAGTAACTAAAGTACACTGCTGAGCTCAGCTCCCAGACAGTCCTGATTAGAGGCAGTGATGCTCATGTAACCACTGATGTCATGTAAGAGAAGAATGATAAAATATATCTAGAAATAAGGGAAGCTTCTAAGGCTGGGGGAAACTCAGTGGTACAGCACTTCTTAGCAGGCACTTAATTAAAATTAAAATTAGTTAATTAAAACTAAAATTGTCTGGATATCACCATATTCACAGGTGATCACACTCATGACTGCTCTGGGTTTGGCTGTTTAAGGTTTGGAGTCCTGAAGCCACAACAGCAGAACTGGTCCGGAAGCGGGAACTGTGGAGGGAAAGATTTACTTATGAAGTAGACTTTGAGGATTTCATGATGCCTTTTCAGAAGAACATTACAGAAAAAGCTCAAGCTTTGGAAGCTGCCTTGAAGAGTTAAATCACATCAGTTACATCTTGGGGTAAATACTTTGAAACCCAGGGACCAAACTTTGGAGAAAGATATTTCCATCAAAGCCAAAATCCATTAAAAAAATCTTTATCAAATATTTGGTTTTGCTTTAATAACTATAAATATTCTAAGCTGTATGATGAAGGTATATTGCAGTGAATTATAATGTCACTTGGGGTAAATCCCCCAACCTCATTAAGAATGGAGAATACTTGGCATTTGAGTTTAAATGTTATTGTCAAAAAACTTACCAGAAGGACACTATTGTTCACTTAAAGATAATCCTTAGTGAATGCATATTGAGGAAATATTCTTAAGTGAAATTAATAAGTCACACATGTGTAAAAAACAAAGAGTTTCTCTGGTGTAAAAAACTAGAAGTGTAAATAAGGATGAAAATGCATAATTGATATTGTGCAATAGGAAGAAAAGGTCTAAAAGACTAGAGGAAGTGGGAGAGGTACAGAAAAGGTAACAAGGGAAAGAAAAGATATGTGAAAAAACATGGAAACTGTCTTCGTAAACTGGGAAGGGTGGAGGGGCTGAAGGGGGGGACTAGAGAATGGGGAAAAATAACCAAGATAAGTCACATAAAGGACTATTATCTAGAATATATAAAGAACTCGAGGGGCCAGGGATTTCGCTCAGTGGTTCCGCCACCTCTCACAAGCATAAGGTCCCAAGTTCGATCCCTGGTACCAAAATAAATAAATAAATAAATAAGGACTAAAAAAATCAGACCCCCCCCAAAGATAAAGACCCGATTCAATAATGGACATCTGAAATAAACAGACATTTCTCAGATAAAGAAGTAAGAGCAGCAAATAAACATAAGAAATAATGTTGAACATCACTGGCCATTCAAGAGATGCAGATGAAAACAGCACTGAGATTCCACCTCACCTCACAAAGAATGGCTGCTATCAAGAAATCAACCAATAACAAATGCTGGCAGGCTGTGGGGAAAAAAAAGGAACCCTTGTACATTTTGGTGGGAGTGTAGAGTGGTACAACTACTGTGGAAATCAATATGGAGATACCTCAAAGAACTAGGATTAGAGTTTCCATTTGACCCAGCTATCCTTATGCTGGGTATCTTTCCAAAAGAATTAAAAGAATCATACCATGGTGATATGTGTGCAATCATGTTATAGTGGCACAGTTAGTAATAGCTAAAACTTGGAGAGAGACCAACTGCCCATCAGTTGGAGACTGGATAAGAAGATGTGGTTTTTCTATAAAATGGAGCACTATTCAGCCATAAAGAATGAGAAACTAGAATCATTCATAGGAAAATGGATACATATTGAGGCCATACTCGTAAGTGATATAAACAAGAGACACTCATAAATACCAAATAGTTCCTCTCATGTAAAAAAGTAAAAGTGTAAATAAGATCCAAATTGTATAACTGATAATGTGAAATAGGAAGAAAAGGGCTAAAGGTGTATGTGAAGTGGGAAGGGTAGGGGAAAAGAAATAAGGGAAAAGAAAAAATATGAGAAAAGGCTAAAATGGAAACAAAGTCTTTGTAAATAGGGGAGGTTGGTGGAAGTGAAGGGAGGGCGGGGACGAGGGGAAAAAATGAGAACCAAGATCTGTCATGTAAAGGTACAAGATCCCAATGATGAATGTAATTGAATTGTATACCCTAAATGTACCAATAAACATAATAAAGATTAAAACATAAAATAAAATTAAAATTAAAATGTGAAAAAGAGGTAATTCTAGTGAAAACTGATAAAAGAATAACTTACTATTAGGAGAGAGAAGTCATTTGTAATCATGTGAGGAAGTTTGTTTCCCACACACCACTGTAAATGTGTCTTGGATATTATTGTTGAGTCATCTCTGGAGGTATTTTCACTCCTCCATTTCCCTTCCACTCTGAGATTGCAGTACTTCCGTACCTCTAACTTCCTCCCTAGTTGTCGGACCATGGAGGGGCCTTTAACAGTATGCTGGTCCAGAGAACAGAGGAAACAGAGTGAGCTGCTAACCAGCCTAGCTCCCTGGAGACAGACCTGAGCTGGTTCTGCTTATGAGCTCTGCCATCTGTCAAAGAGATTGGCTTCAAGAATAATTCCTGTTTATTTAAAGAGGTTTGGTTTTGGATGCCCCCTTTTTTTGCTGCAATTTCACATTTGTAGTTAAGTTACAAGAGTTTTACAAATAATTTCTGTGTACTCTTTAATAGAGTTCCCTGATAGATAAAATGGCCCTAACCCCACATCCTAAATGACTCTTTCCGACAGATAATAAATCACTCCAGGGAAACAATGACCAAACTTTCTTGACACAAAGCTCTCCCACTTCTAGTCCTTCCCACCGGGAAATTCAAACCTGCCAGTGGATTTAAACCTCACCTCTGGCTGCAGCCAAACATCTTACCCCCCAAGACCCCTTGCCCGTATAAAACCTCACCCAGCCAGCCCCCGCCCACTGCTCTTGCCCTTGTCCGAGACAGCCCTGCACCCCATCCTCTACACCCCATCCCCCTAATAAAAGTCTAGTTTCAAGTGTTCGTGTCTTTGGCTTAATTCCCACCTCTCACTCTTTACCCAAATATTAACCATATACCACATTTGCTTTATCGCTTTCTCTCCATGTATATGGGTGTGTGTGTTTGTGTAACTTCCCCAAAACTCTTTTGTGTACCAGCTGAACATATGATGTTCCTTAACCCTAATACTTCAGTGGTTTTCTTCTAAAAGCAAGAACATTCTTTTACATAACATTATTATTGTCAAAATCAGGAAAGTAACACTTGAAGAATCTACTTAAACTATAGGACTTTTAAAAATATTTTTATTGGTACATTTTAGATATACAATGCAGTTACATTCATCATAGGGAACTTGTACCTTTATATTACGTATCTTGGTTCTTATTTTTCCCCATTCCCCTATCCTCCCTTCACCCCCTCCACCTTCCTCATCACCAAAAGAATTGAAAGAATCATACCATAGTGATAAACGCTCACCCATGTTTATAGCAACACAGTTTGTAATAGCTAAAACTTGGAAACAGCCCAATTGCCCATCAGCTGAAGACTGGGTAAAGAAGATATGTTTTTTTAAAAAATAAAATGGAGTACTACTCGGCCATAAATAACAAGAAACTAGAGACATTTATAGTTAAGTGGATGTACACTGAGTGAAATTAACAGGACACACATGTGTAAATACCAAATAGTTTCTCTGGTGTGATAAACTAAAAGTGTATATAAGGATCAAAATGTATAATTGATATTGTGTAATAGGAAGAAAAGGTCTAAAGGTGTTGGGGAAATGGGAGGAGTAGGGGAAAGGGAAGAAGGGAAAAGAAAAAAAAGAGAAAAGGAAAAAGATAGAATCTATAGGATTTTTTAAGGTATTAATATTTTCCTATTTGTCATAACAACATCCTTTATAGCAAGAAAAGAAAAAAAGAAAAAGAAAGGAAATCCCTGATTGTGGAATACATTCAGTTCTCTCTTCTCTTTAGTCTTCTTTAGCTTTCTACTGATACAGGCCAGTTGTTTTGTAAACTATTCCTCAGTTTTACTTTGTCTTACAATTTCTCAAGAAATGCATTTCAGGCTCAATACCACAGATTTGATATTGCAGCCTTCTCGGAATATCATAGCAGGAGGACATGACCTTGATATACAATATAAACTTTGTAAACTTTAATCTGTTTACATATCTTGAGGGTAGGTCTTTGAAATTGTGTAAATTTTCTTTTGCTACCATGAATTTCACATGCTAATTTTCACATCTATGTATAATTTATACCTAAGGTGACTATTACAGTGACATATTTCCTAATGTTGATCTTATTTCCTTCCATTTCTTTGTTGTCTTTCACTGTTGGGAAAAGCTTCTTTTCTTTCTCCTTAATTCATGCCTTAAAGTAGGATGGACTCATGCGTACTTCTTTTTTATGTTGTGGTTTATAATTGTGGGTGTACACTCAAAATTCCAGTTTTTCACTTATCTGTCTAAAAGCAGTAGCTCCTAGGAAAATAGGCTGCCAGAAATTCCTCTTCAGGACAGATCCACTTCCCAAAGACCAAACACAAACCTGAACCACAGCCCTTTCCGAGGGAGTTTTATACCCCTGCAAGTGATGGAAATCACACTGGTATAGACAGATACTATCACTAACTTTCTTATCTCTGCTTTGTTCTCCTGCAAGTCCATTTATCTTTCAGAAAAAGTCATTTGTTTGCACATTAGCATTCTTTCCACCTCCCCTTTACCTAGTTTTAAATTTGTGTAAATTTCTTATTTTAATGATACATATATATATATA